TACCTCGATCCGCCGTTGCGTATTTTCGCAAAAGATGTGTTAGAGGGATTGTCAAGAGAATCGACTCAAGTATGTTAAGGCTATCCCTTCTTTCCTTTTGGCATGATCCATACGTCACAAACGAAACGAACAAATGCATAACTTTCATAAATGACTCTATTCATAGAAATACTAGAAGTGCCTATGTTATTGATTCCTCATGTGTGCTATTGTTTTATCATTTGTTCATGGGTCTCAGAAAATATGTAAGTTGATAAAGTTTATTTTATGATATTAATCAAAGGCATATTGATCTTGTGACATTCTGAGAAATCTTATTAACGCACTTCTTATGCATTTCATGCATTTATACATGTATATTGACCCATGACCAGATGGCGTTATATACGCGTATATTATATATATATGGGATATAGGAAAAGGTTACGACGTTATATACGCACCACCACCTGATCAGCTGGTATACCTTGATGATTTGCCCAAAGTGGCCGAGATAATATGATGGGATACCCTCAAAGATTTGATGATGTTATGAACGCATATACCTATGCATGGTAGGATATTTATACGCATATGCATGACATTGTAAATATTAAATAATTTACAGAGCTAACTCAGACTTACATGTCGAGTTCTTTACTCAATGTTTCTCTCATGACTTTTATTTACTGATGTTCATTCCTTACATACTCGGTACTTTATTTGTACTGACGTCCCTTTTGCCTGGGGACGCTGCGTTTCATGCCTGCAGGTCCCGATAGATAGGTTGAGAGTCCTTCAAGTGGGCTATCAGCTCAGCGGAGGGTATTGGTGTGCTCCATTTGCTCCGGAGTTGCTTATTTGGTCAGTATGATTAGGATATATATTGATTGGTATGGCGGAGCCGTGTCCCGACCTTTATGATAAGTATGTACTCTTAGAGGCTTGTAGAAAGATATCATGTATACGGATACTTGTATGACCCCGTCGGCCTATGTTTTAAGTATATAATGGATCACATTGGCCTTATAGGCTTGTATGTCACAGGTATGAGTTTCTATATCAGGTTGGGTTATTCTATGTCGGGGGTTTCCTCATGTTTACTCTGTTTATCTTATGACACTCATTCTGGCACACATACCTATGATGATTTAATAAGAAAGATATGTTACGTTGGGATTCGGTTGAGTAAGGTATCGGGTGCCCGTCGCGACCCATCGGTTTGGGTCGTGACATTAACTGAGTGTATACAATCGAAATCGGGCTTGATTATTACATGACAGATCGGACTCGGAATGAGAAGAGTCGAGGATCGACCCCGAGTCTCGTCAAACCAGAACACGAGGTCAGAACGTCCGTCCTAGAGAACATTGAGTCCATGATCCCGGAATCGACCCCGACCCCGAGTAAGCTCGAGGAAACATTGTCGGTATAACCAATAGAAGACCAAAATAACGGAAGGCCGAAATATCCGTAACCGGTGAGATATCGCGGCGGGAATCTTATCACGTATCAGTAGGGAACCGGCAAATCAGCAAACCAGGAGATTATTACCTTTTATAGAATTGTACCTAAAATAAGACTCCCCTACTATATAACAGGGGTCCGGTTACTTGTAGAGCACATGGTAACACGCATCCCAAAAGAAATATATTATTATTCTCGTCAAGTTCTTGTGACTCTCTTGTTGTTTCTGTTCTGATATCAATAAAAGCATCTTTGGCTCGAGGGTGTCAAACCTTCCTAGGCTAAGACTGTTCAACTTGTGTGGTTAGCATTTACTTATCCATTACTTATTTCAATTGTAATCTGATTTGTCGTCTTGTATCAAATTAAATCACATATCCTTAAAACCACTTATAAATTGACATCAACCTACAATAATCTTTCCCCTTTTTCAACTCGGTGTCAGTATGCTATGCCAAATTCACGCTGCAGAGTTTCTAATTGACCATTGATTAAAAGATAAATTGAATCATGAAGGAAACGTAAAAGAGAAATTCAAGAGGAACCAGATTTATGGTTACATGAATTTCCTAAGCAAACAACTTTAAAGTTAGCAAGATTTCCTTTCTGAACTTACGCTGCTAGGGGATTCAACTGATGGAAGCGAGTTCGGTTCATGGGAACTCGTTGTTAACTTCCCCACCAATTGCTTTTAGTCATCCACCTGAAATTATAAGCCCGTTGTAAATAGCTGATAAGTTTGAAGTGCTGAAAAATATTTTTAAGTATTGGAATTGATTTTTAAATAAGCATTTACGTGTTTGGATAGACGTGCTGAAACTGATAATAAGCAGTTGATGTGTTTGGTATAAAAGTGCTGATAAGTTGTTCTTTTTTTAAAATGACTAAAATATCCTTAAAAACTTTACAAAAGATTATAAATTAAAAAGTTTCTTTGTAAAGAAAAAGATGAACAATGAATATGGAATGAAAAGAAAGTTAGAAAATTTATTTTGGAAAAATTATTTTGTGAATTAGAAAATATTATTAAGGATAAACTAATAAAAGTTTTGGTCAAACTAAAAGTACTTATCAGTTAAAAAGTCATAAGTTGGGGGTGACCAACTTATGACTTATGGCTGATTTTAGCTTATGAGCATTTGACTTATAAGCATTTTGTGTATTTACCAAATGCGTAAATAAGTCAAAAGATGCTTATAAGCTACTTTAACCGCTTTGTTTCCCTAAAATTTGCATGGTTCTCTTTTAGATGTTACGAAGCAGAGATGCATTCTGCCAAACAAAAGGCTGCCACCGTTTCGTTAATTCTTGTAGCACCTTTTCGTTTGGGATGTTGCCAACCGTAGGTTTTCTTTCTTTTTTCCAATTAGGGTATTTTAATGTTAGAAGGACATTTATATAATTTAACTTTATAGTTTGGAGCTTCATGCTTTTATATATATATATATNTACTAGAAGACTAAAGACTTGTACCATTTCAGGAAAAAATCTCTCGGCTCTCAAACATCAAAGTCAATTATCCCATTACTTTGAATAAACGACACTACCCCAAGTCATGATCCATATATATGTCACCTTACTTTTCATGCAAATTAAAGCAATATTAGGTTTCGTATGTTTTGATTTATATCTATATACTTTTCGATGATTGCGTCTATATATTATTAGTCTCCTCCAAAAATAAAGAAGTTTCTAATAATTTGTGTTTATGTAATGAAATTCCAAGAGTGAGTGATCATCTTGCATTGTGTTGAGGTTTGAAACTAAGGTCAAAACTTGAGAGGTTACAACGCTTCAGATGATGTTAAAGTCCCACGCACTAAGATAAATATCTGAATGACCTTCCGACTGTTTTAAAATTTGTGCCTGTTAAATATAATTACTAGTATAATAAAGACTTCACATTAAAAATCCATAATTTCAAATGCCTCCAATCTGATAGATTTTATACCCATGTTGAAGAATTAACCCAAATAGCCGTTCACCCAACCGCTTAGATTAAAAATAGTCAGCAAAATCTTAGTTAGCCCCTTAAACTTGGCATGTTTTGTAAAATAAACATATAAACTTATGGGGTGACCAGATAGACACTTGAACTCGTCCAAAGTGTAATTTTTAAATACCTATGTCCAACCTGGCATACCGCGTGTTGTATCTTTACTGATGAGCGCGTGATAGCTATTTTAAAGCTGTTGAATCAGAAAATTAACAGTAAAAAATTCCTCTTTATATAACCCATACCCAACACTACTTTTCCCCAATGATTAAAAAAAGCCCTAACCCCTAATATTCCTCTTTTCCATAGCTGAAAACACCATCGAAGCCAAAATATTTCAGTGGTCATTTGATGTGTTTTCTTTTACATCTCTCTTAAATCACAGTAGATGCTTCCATATATTTTCCTCTCTAACTCGTTATCTCCCTTCTCCAGACAAGTTGACGATGATTTTCCATCATAAAATAAAATCTCCACCTTTACATGATTTCCTTTTGATTTTGCTGAAGTTTGGATGAAATTTAACTTTAGAATTACAAGAACTGTGATATAAATTAGGTAGGGAATGAGATGAGAGTTGGGTCTCAGAGAGAGAAGATGAACAAATGAAAGGTATTATTTGGTTTTAGACTATTATTTGCTTACATGGAAAAGAAAATACATGTGTTAACATATTATTCGTTCATTTGCCATGTAAGTGGCATTTGGACCTCACGCACAAAGTCTAACATAAAGAGGGTGTTTAAAAATTACACTTTGGATGAGTTCAAGTATCTATCTGGTCACCCCATAAGTTTATATGTTTATTTTACAAAACGCGCCAAGTTTAAGGGGCTATCTAAGATTTTGGCCTATAATATATGCATAATTTGTGTATTATATGTGTATAATTGTATATAATCAACGTATAATCTATGTATATGATTAGAAAAAGTAAATAGTGAATATAGACGGCTATTTGTGTAAAATTAAGATTTTAAGATCATTTGTTATGTGGTTCGAATGGCTACCATATATAGTAGTAATGCCTCACGCATTATCATGCAATATATAGAGTCGAGTCTCAAATTTGGCCTCATTTTGAAATAGATTCTCTCTCCTCATTATAATCATTCACTTAGTTTTTGTTTACTTGACAATAATTTCAATTTTTTTCCAAGTGGGAGGGAAGATAAAGAAGAAGGTTCCTTCGCGTAGATGATATTTCTACTAAGGAAAAAGTCTTTACCCTCTTCTATAAGTTTTATAATATACTAAATTGTTGTCCTTTTGGGTTTTCCTGTATTTTAAGTCAATGGGTGATCACTCATATATACAAAGACTCCGTCCATTCAAAGACCTTTTGCCCCTGAAACAACAAAGTCAATCCTCATGACTTTGACCAAATTAAAGGAACACACAGTCTTGAGCCTCCTTAATTAATTAATTTACATCATCTTCTTTATATATATATATATATATATATATATATATATGCTGATATATATAAATATACAACCCTAGCAAGAGACCAGGCCACCAATTTATAATTATCTTTCATTAAAAAAGCAGAAGAAGAAAAACAACAAGAATTAATAATGGAAGTGGAAAAAATAAGCAGCAACAGCATAGTTACAAATAATAATTACTACAACAAATTAAAGGCAGAAGAAGAAGACGAAGATGTTCCACTTCCAGGGTTTCGGTTTCATCCGACAGATGAAGAGCTTGTTGGGTTTTACCTTCGAAGGAAAGTTGAGAAAAGACCGATCGGTTTACAACTTATCAAACAGATGGACATCTACAAATATGACCCTTGGGATCTGCCTCGTATGTCTACTTATTACTCTCTCTTAATTTCTTTAATTTGTTTTACAGTTCCGTTTTGCTTCTTTCATTTCTCTAGGTTTTTCTTAAAGAAAATATGACCTAAAAAAAAAAGTATAATAGATGTTTAGGGTGTGTGTTTGATGTAACAAAAATATCATAACACCGTTTCGTCGGAAAATTTTACTAAATATATGTATTAATAGTGTGAGGAAACGGATACGTAGAAAAAAATGACATCATTTGGCACAAAGTTACGTTATGGTGTGTTGGTTATGTTCCTAATTTTACTCTAAGAGGTCAGAGGTTTGAACCTCATGATCTAACACGTATATTTTGTAAATATTTGAGAGAGCCTCTGTGGTTAAAAATTGTAATATTAGACACGATAGAAAAAAGAAAAGAGTTAAGAATTATTACAACTATCCAACAAATATATATATATACTCGTCATTGGTTTTGAATTTAGAACTAGTACGTACTTCTATATATATATATATATATATATGATCAGGACAGAAGAAGATTTGTTTAAAATTACACATTTGCATGTAAAGATTTTCTAAAAGGTTTTATATATGCTATAAATTTAGAGTCGTTTATTTAATTTGGATATGTCAAGGCATAAGACATGTGTCTACTTCGACATGCAAATTGTAGTAGAGAATTGAAGAGGCAGCACATGCACAAAAAGCGTTTGACCTTTTAGCACTGAATATCATTGTATACGTACTTTTAACGAGTCGTTTAATTATCTGGATGTTTCAGAGGCTAGTAACAAGGGAGAAAATGAATGGTACTACTATTGCAAAAGGGGAAGAAAATACAAGAACAGTGTAAGACCTAACAGAGTGACGGCGGGTTCTGGATTTTGGAAGGCAACCGGTATTGATAAATCTATTTACAGTAAAGGAGAAGTCATAGGACTAAAGAAATCATTGGTATATTACAGAGGCAGTGCTGGAAAAGGCACAAAAACTGAGTGGATGATGCACGAGTTTCGTCTTCCAAACCTTCATTCAGCTAACACCATTGCTCAAGAAGCTGTAAGAAACTTCAAAATTCATACTACTCGTTTCGTTTCATTTTACGTGTCTTAGTTTGATTTAAGAATGTTAAATAATAGTTAAATGGCCAAGCTTCTTTTTTTGGTTGCCAAAAGTGCTTTTTTCCCAACTAAACTAACCGTGTTTGACCAAGCTTTTTAATTAGAAGGAAAAAGTGTTTTTAAGTAGAAGCAAAAATAATCTTTGAGAAGCAAAAAAAAAGTACGTGGCTTCTTTCCAAATCACTTGTGGGAAAATCACTTTTAAAAAAAATACTTTTTACAAGGTTTGGTCAAACACTAATTGTTGTCTAAAAATATTTTTTTAATTATTTAACTAAACACAACATGTTTCTCACTTTCTTTTTTGGTTCAAACGAAGATACCAAAAGCACTTTACAAAAAGAAACATTTGAAACTAAACTTATTTTAGAAGTTTGGCTAAACATGCTATCATACTAATTCACTTTTGTTTATCAACGGAATCTAAATCTTCAGAATTAAGTTTGCCAAGATGGGATATATAGTTGTTATTAATCGATATATTTTCTTAAGCTAAATAATCATCTCTCATTCCGTAATTTTGATAGTTTACGAGGATATAAACTTATAAGCATGCCAGCATTTTTGTTGCCTGACGTATAAGTAATCAAGCTTATCATAATCTATTCTAATATCAGAATCTCTAATATCATATTGTATTATATGACAATACTGTCAATCTGGTACCATGCTATTAAATAAAATATAATTTTATCTACAATTAATATATAATTCTACATGCATGAATTAAATTGAAAATCTCTTTCCAGGAAGCATGGACTCTTTGTCGTATCTTGAAACGAAATGCTTCATATCGAAAATTTATACCAGATTGGAAAGTAGCAGCAGCAACGCCGCAGCCCAAAATATGCAGCAGCAATATTGATTCTTCAAAAAGTTCTCAGATTTACATCAGTTTTAGCACACCTCATGTGGTCAAACAGAATACCTGTAGTGATCATGTTGAAAATAAGCAGCTGTTAAACGTAGGGCAACAAAGCTCAGGATCTGCAAATGATGAAAGTATGCTATCGATCTCTACTGTTGCAACTGCATCCAATTCGAATAGTCCTCTCGACTTTAATGAGTGGTTAGAGCATGGGAATTGGGATGAACTTAAATCTATTTTCGAGCTTTCTTTTGATCCTTTCTTTTAATTTTCTACTATGGTTAAGCTCGACATGCATTGTAATATACTGAGTTTTCCTTTTCCTGCTGGATATAACTTATATAACCTCGCAGTATTTTAATTTAAGCTCTGAGTGTATTTGAACATATATATTCTAGTGCTTTATTTTTCAGGTTACTAGATGAACTTACCGTAGACGGTATCTTTTTCCTCCTCAGATGATCTAATTAATAATATTAGTTAAACACTTAATGCTATATCGACTAGACTTACATGTCGGAGTTTTAGGCCATTAAATCATGTGAACATACAGGTATTTGTAAAGAATTTTTTATACTATCAGGTCATATAAATTAAAAGATATTTACATGTAAGCTTCCTTAAATTGTAAATTTATAATCTTGAAAATAAGACAGGTCACCTGCTAATGACCATGTATATGACTTAAACTCTTTACAAAATGAATTAATGGGATTAGCAATTAAGATGAGTCTCACAGTCACAAATTAGTGAAACGCCTGAGTGCATGTAATTTAGATGGCTTCTAGTCTCTATAAGATTTGGTGTATTAATTCCATGTTCCAGCAGGACACCGCTTCATGTTTTATTGATTTCTGTTGTCAGTTTACCTAGTGTTTTCCTGGTCCGAAAATTATAGTACTGGTTTCTTTTGAAACTATAGCCTCGTTTTATTTAGGATATTACTTATATACATTAATGTTATAAATAATATTTACACTATATGTGCAATTAGCCAGTTACAACAAGCTATTCAGGGGTGACATTAAAAAAAATTAGAAGTATGTTATTATCATTGATTGGTTCCACAAAGCATCATTATTTGACAAATAATCATGATCAACAAACTAATTTAGATGTGGATAATATTGCTGAAGGAGATTAATAATAATCATCCACAGTGTTTCACAGTATACTTTTGAAATGATCATTAAGCAACGTGTTCAAGACAAACTTTCCTTTGACTTCAAATAAAAGTTATAATTATTGCAACTGATTTACTTCCCTGGCTGCTTTTATATCTCCAACCCTTACACAAAATAATACATGCACTTATACTCGATGGAAAACCAAAAGATCCTGAAGTGGATGGGAGAAATCTTTCTACTCAATGACTACTGATGATTTGTTGAACAAATTTGCTGCAATTTACCAAGGTTTCATTTACATTGAGATTGTAAATTCCCATTGAAGTTTGATTTCTACTGCCTTGAGTCATTAATTATGCTTTTTTGATTTCTATGTTTTTTTTGTTCCTAAACAAGTAAGCTCTTTGTGTTATCTGCGCTTTACTAAACCTAATTGACAGATCAGGAATGAATCGATGTGCTGCTGGCAGTTTCTTTCTTATGTTGCAAGTAAAGAAGCTCTAACATTTCCCTATCCATACACAGACGAGATGATGAAGAATTACTGGAAACAAAGACTAAACCAAAAGAGTAAATGATAAGTACAGAGAGAAGAATAATTGATCCATGTCAGTAAATTATTTGTAACACAAAGCAACGACATTTATCAGAGCCAGTACACAGAGCAAAACTATGGACCTCACCCATCATCACAACAAAGGGGGAAAAAGAGCGTGACCCCATTTCCAAAATCGCCAGATACTAAGACTAGCTGACAGGCATGGATGGGAAGGTCCTCCAGAATTCTAACGTCAACATGGTGGCCGAAGGAAGATACAAGATAGTGACAACACAGCAATTTACACAGCTGCAGGTTTTACAAGCACAAGCAGGCTTTCTAAGTAGTATTCCTTATCTAGAGCTCTTCGATTTCTTTTTAGATGGCCTGCTGGAACCTGCAATAAATTCCTCCGCATCGATCTTGTCAATTGATTTTTGCTTCCTAAACTCCTTTGCCTTTTTCTGCAGCAAGACCAATATGAATGCATCAAATCATTAGCAATCCAAGAATCAAAGTCCAGACACAGAAGGCTGCATATTTTAATACATCTATGAAGAGCATCATATGTTTTGTTTACCTTCAATGACGATGCCATGGCAGTGACGTCATCTTTATCCACATTGGACACGTTTTGGTTATGTGTTTTTGGTTCCTGTAAAAGTGCATACAAACAATGTTCAACAGAAAATGCATATACGGAGTGCAAAATAAAAATGCCCTGATGAGATTATGTGAATACAAACCTCAGGTGGAACAAAAGCTTCTTCCCGTTTTTTCTTGTTTTCGGCAACTCTCTCTGCCTGTTTTTCTTGCTTCTCTTCCCACTGCTTTGCTAACTTCTTTTTGTCACTTAAGAAGTATTCACCACTTTCCAGTTGTTGATCAATCTACAATCAAAAAGATTATATATGTTAGATTAAATTAACAGCGGATATATCTTAATCCCTGTCACTGTAAGAGAAGACGAGACAACTGAAAATTTAAAGATAAAAATAAATAGACCACAAACTCCAGTGAGACAATAGCGAGCAAAGCAGTAGCAGGATACAGCAGAATTACTATTTACAACACCACACCAATAATTGCCTAATGACAATTTACACAGCACTTAAATGTAGTGCAGAGAGTATATGATGCTTAGAATAATACTCTACACATAAAAGAGATATAGAAGAGAACAAAATAAATGGACAAAAAGTGACCTTTTATAGAACCAAAAAGATAACTCACCTTACTAGGTTGCTGAGGTGGTGGGAAGGGTGTATATGGTTTCTTTTCTTTGGTCTTAACTTTCTTTTGTTTAACATTCTTCCTGAATGGACAAAAACGAACAAAATAATATTTAAGCTTTGTAGTTGGAACTGCAGAATAAAAAGTTAATACGACTCCAACACCATATGCAAAGATGCCTTACTTCTTAAACTGCGGAAGAAATCTGTCCCAGTTCTCATTGGCCAGAGCTGGATTTTTTGCAAGCTCTCTCCTCAGCATGAGGATCTACGGTCACAGAGATACGTCAGGGGAAGTGCATTAACAGACCTTTTATCCATAACATACTGTAATAAATAGTTGAAGACCCTACAAAATTCAATTTTATAATCAGGCTCGGTTACCTTGATATGATGTAGAGGATGCATTTTGTTCAGTACACAGTCCTCTACAATCCTCCTCACTTGCTTTAGACCTTTAAAGGAACCCATAGCAGCAACCGTGTTTCCCTAGTCAATTTTAGGCAAGATTCAGGTTTGTTCTCAACTATATTTTATATCATACACTTTAAGAGTCAGTAATAAGGCCAAAGCTTTGACCTAAAAGAAGAAAATGAAAAGGACACTAAATTTGAGATTTACATGTAAAGCAAGTTATCAGATGGGTATACCTGGACAAGAATATAGCAGCCGGTCAAAATTTCCAGGGCCTACATCCAAAGTGATACATATCAAGCTATATGGCAGAAAGTAATAATTCAGCATGATGTGTCAGTATATTCACCAACATTCAAGCAATCTATAACTCTACGTTTTATAGCAGATTTGGTCTGGATGAGTGGCTGGCACAGGTAGGGGGTAGGACTAAACCTACGTGATTCTGGTCAAGGGTCATCCATTTACCAGGCAATACCCATGATTAACTACTAATGTAAAGGAGCAGTAAAATTATTACCCACAATCAGATAAACTATCTACTGTTCAGTTTAATTTTTGGCAGTTCAGTATTACATATCCATATTACTGATTCAAGACAAATATTCTGGGAAAATCTTCCAGTTGGAAGTTGGGCCATTCACTATGAATAAATAAATCATTCTAACAGGTAAGCAAATACAGAAACAAATGCTCTCCAGTTCAAGCGTGGTCCAAAGAAATCAGAAAATACTCCTTGACAAAATGATCCTTAGTCAAGAGAATGGTATTTTGGCTCAGTCCTACATAACACTGGCAGTAGAATGTTCTCCTAACCAATTGCAATTGTCAGAGAATGGTGCAAAAGCCAATTCACCAACCTTTAAAGTTGACGAGTTGGGACCCACAAGATATTGTCTGCGTTTAACAAAGCACTCCTGCAAAAAAAAAGTTTAATAACATGAATTTGGACAACGCCAACCAAATGCACATGACCAGGAATACCAACAAAATTCATTATCTAACAATGAGTATTACATCCCATTATTATCACTATTTTTTCTATCCTGATTCCAATTTATATGCCATTGTTTACTTGTCCAGGACATTCCAAATGTTTGACACTATTCAACTAACAATACGATTTTTACACAACACTCAAGCATTCACATTTTGAACTTTTATATGAGGTCTTTCCTATGGAACTTCCTTTGCAGCCACTACTTTAATATTTTCTCCACTGCCACTAATATAATATATAAGTCAAATTAACATCTTAAACTCTATGCCTAGTAAAATACAGTCATATAAAATGAAATGAAGTAGTATTCTACAAAAACCACCATTTAGTTCAAGCAAGAGTTAGTCCAATCATGCACTGTACTTCTCAAAAGCTTATCTCACCTTTACATCTTGCTAACAACTTATCTCTATTTTTTTTATAATGAATAACAAAAAGCTAAAAGGGATAACTAATGACACCCACATGTTCCAAGATTTATAGTGAACTAATCTTAAGTTTCAACTCTTAGATTAATATGCATGCCAGCCAAAGTTAAATTAAGATATGTAATCTAGGGGAAGAAAGCAGTCTTTAATCAAGAGGAAGCTTAATGTTATTTCATATTTGAGTTACAAATCTCCCAAAAATTATAGGTAAGAAATATAATTAATAACTTAAATATATCTTGTAAGTTCAGAAATAATATCCATTTTACTAGTACCTTTTATGTAACAGTGATAACCAACAAGGCAAAAGGAAACATACTCACTGCATACAGTGCAACAATTCAAGATGCCTTTGTGAAGAAATGGTCGGCCCCACGGTGTGGGATAATACTGGGTATGTTGTTGTTGTTTGTAAAGAAATGGTCGACAGGCAAACCTTGAAATAAATCTCATGCTAAGGAGAGCAGAGGTTCAAAAGTCTCTTCAAGGCATATTTTTGGGAATAGCTGCTGGGTGAACAAATAGGCGTGCGGTCGAGTGACAGGGGGCTTACTAGTCCTCTCATACTTGTCAAAAGAATATGTAATATTGTGAATGAGCATACTTATCAAAAAGTGTGTATATAGAGTGAAAGAGC